ATAATTTCGTAAATTGCATAAACAATTATGAACAAAACAGCATCATGTATTTATGCATTGCTTAATCCAAAGAACCGAAGCGCCATTCACACAGACTGCATTTAAAGCATAAGAGACACAGTGAAAAGGAATAAACCTCCACAAATTTGTGACGTGTTTTCTAAAAGTTTAAACTGTTTTAACTTTTAATGGCTTTCTATACATCTCTTTTGAGACGCGAGTGCAGCAGTCATATTTGTCCGTCTAAAAAATGCGCTGAATATGCGTTCTGTGTGAATGGCTTGGTTTTGGTTTTAACCTAATCAAGATCTTCTCCGCATTGAGCTTCTATATTTCTCTAATATTTTGAATGAATAACGCAGCAGCAGCGCGTCTCATGGGCTGGACTTATAAAACATTAAAATGCAACAACGTCATTTACATCATCATCACTGCATCTCGCGCTCCACTAATGACGCTCCCAGATGCACACCTAACATTTGATTGTACTATTTTTGCATTCAAGTGCAAATGTTTATTTTAAATTCGACTAATATTTATTTATTTTTATTCACAATCTCCTCATCACAGGCAGGCACAGCACTCATTTCAGCATGTGTTCGTGTGTGTGTGTGTGTGTGCGGTCTGCGTCACTCATAGCACGTGCCTATATCGTGCGCTATATCGAGCATTTTTTCTATCGTTATCGAGGAGGGTGTACTGTCGATAAATATCGATACCGTTTTATCGCCCAGGCCTACGCACACGCATGCGTTTACATGATTACGCACACGACGGCATGCTGGTGAGTGATTTGTGATGCCGTTCTGTTGCAGGCGTCGTCCAGGCCAGCAGTCTGTCCAACATATGCACTCAGATCATGTCCATCGTGGACCAGGAGCAGAACAAAGTGCTTTGGATTCCTGATGGAAGCATGTGAAGAACCACACACATCCTTCACAGCACACTGCTGAAAATGATCTACTTACTATTTTTGTTGTTTTTCATTACAAATATCTAAAGCTACATTTAAGGAAAGAGACTTAAGGTAATAAGTCTTGTTTTCTGAAGAATTAAGTGATTTAAAACAAGAAAAAAATTCTGTCAGTGGGATAAGATAATCAAATATTTTTTTGTTTTAAAACAGTAGTTCATTAAGATATTAAAATGTGCAGAAAATGTGCTCACTTACAGGCCATCCAAGATCAGGATGAGTTTGTTTCTTCATCAGATTTGGAGAAATGTAGCATTGCATCAGTGTCTCAGCAATGGATGCTCTGCAGTGAATGGGTGCCGTCAGAATGAGAGTCCAAACAGCTGATAAAAACATCACAATAATCCACAAGTAATCTTAATGTCTTGTGAAGTGAAAAGCTGCATGTTGTAATGAACAAATCCATCATTAAGATGTTTTTAACTTTGTTGTGAGCCCTCTATCCATAATATTGCTTTCTCCCGTGAAAAAGTCTCATCTGAATCAGGAGAGAAATCTGCACAGATCAAGCAGCGTTTAAACAGCTCTAAACACATATGTAGCTGGATTTTGATGTGAGAGACAACAGGAGATGCACTTTTTCACTGGAGGAATTGTTATTATGAATTATGAACTCGTATTTTATCCAGAATCATCAGTTTGAAGTTAAAAACATGTTAATGATGGATTTCTTTCTTTTGTCTTCTCCAGATGTTAACTGATGGACTGGAGTGCTGTGGATTACTTGTGGATTATTGTGATGTTTTTATCAGCTGTTTGGACTCTCATTCTGACGGCACCCATTCACTGCAGAGCATCCATTGCTGAGACAGTGATGCAATCACATCACAACTATTCCTTTAAGAACATTAAGATATTAGTACAAGACAAGAATACGGAGTAAGAAAACAATTGTTTTGCAATGTAATAATAACACATCGTCACCGATCTCCCACTTTTGCAATACTCCACTGCTGTTAAACTCACTATACACCTCTAGGGCTGGACGCTATATCATATATTCATTAAATATGAAGTGCTTTATGAGCAGCTATGAATTTCTTAATTGTTTAATATGTTTTTATTTGGTGGTCAAGCTTCATGATGGATTGCAATCAGTCAATTCAAAACTCTGATTCCGTGATTTGCATCATCACTCAGAAACGTCTCTTTGTTGCTTATAAATATAATATAATGTAAATATCACTGTTTTTCTTTGACTGTATCGTCCAGCCCTGAACACACACTCCACGCACACAAACTCTCAGGCAACGATCACAACTGTTAGATGAGAAGCAGTATCCTCCATTCACTGTGTTTTCTCTGTGGTAACACTAATTTATGAGGGCTTTCATGTAGTTCTTCGTGTTTACAGAGGTGAGGTTTATGAACCAGCTTACTTGAATGTTTAACTGTATCTGTCCCCGTATGGGTCTGATCCGATCGGTGCATGCTAGTTCAACACAGACGCTCAATTTACGGCTTTCTGAGGTTAAAAATACTGACTGTTAAGTTTGTTTTCTGATCGCTGATCATGTTAAAGGGTTCATTCACCCCGAAATGAAACTTCTGTCATCATTTATTCAAGCCTGTATTCTGTGGAGCACAAAAGCAGATGTTTAGCAGAATGTTCGAGCTGCTCTTTTCCACACAATGAAAGCCGACAGGTTGCCGTGCTTCAAAAAGCATAAAAGCACCATAAAATAATGTATTTAGAGAGCTTTTTGAGGTTTTTCCTCACTCAACGTTGTCATATGAATCAGAATTTTTTTGATTCACTTTCATTGCACAGAAAAGAGCAGTGATCTTTCTGCGATCTCCGGGTTTGAAACGACATGCAGATATTTGTCATTTTTGGGTGAACTATTCCTTTAAGCTTTAATGTAGCAGTTTCTTTATTTCATTTTCTTTTACGTGTACTTGTTTTTATTTAATGAACGATGCAATAATCTGCTGCATGATAATTTTACTATATGCTCTGATTATTTTTACTTGTCTGGTTCATTTGTAACTCTAATTTAAATGTTTTTTTGTAGTCGAGTATCAGGCAGAGCTGAATTCTTTTTCATAGTATCTTAAAAGCTCCTCTCGTTTTCAGAATCAAACGTGCCAAATGCTTTCTTCTGCTTTGCCTGTATTTTGCACTCATTTGATTGGAAAGGTAGACAGACCTACTCTATTAATCCCAGACGGGATTAATCCCGTCTATTAATCTACTCTATTCCCGTCTACTCTATTAATCCTCTCTCTCTAGTGAAAGCTTTTGTACTACACTAGTCCTCCTGTTTACCTTACTAAAGGACGTTCACTGTGACATCACTTCCTGTTCTGACCCGTGCTGACCAATGAAACGAGTTGTCTGGTTTAGCTTCATCAACAAAGATAGAAAGTCTCACATCATGTAATGTTCTCCCAGTCCTGCCAATAATGACGCTGATGTTGAACTGGTACAGATGCTCAGATTGTAGCTGGAAAAAACAAACAAACATATAATTCCAATTAAAATTCTGTTTTCCATTATGTTTTATAATGATATAACACCCTGGTACTGTCACATTTAAGACAAAATACGATTTAGTAATTGTTACATTAATAAAGTCTAAATTAAACATTACCCAGCATATTTTACTGTGTAAACATTTATTTTTATAAAATGATTATTTTTTCCATCTGTATGCATTGAGTCTGTATGTTTGTAGTTTATGCTGAATTCATGGACAACTTGGAGTTTCAAGTCTCAAATATTCTATGCATTTCTATAAACATGATTTAATGTAATGTGTGGTGTGTCCCAGAGCTCATGTGGATGATATGATGATGCAGTTCCTGTGAAGAGTCACCAGATGGCGTCATATCCTTCTTCAGCCTCTTCTCCATAACCAGTATTACATAAACATCACATCAGGTGAAATATTATTACTGGCTGAGCTGATCAGCGGAAAATATCATAAGGCAGAGGGAAGATTATTTGTTATCATACAAAAGGAAAAACAAGCTCACGTTGATCCCAAAAACATTTAGGTTAAAAATAAACTTATTTGAAGCCATAGAGAAAAATAAAAAGGGTTTTCCACTTTCTCCGTAAGCTTTTGTAAGTTTGCATCCTTGTTTATCAATTTATTTATTATTTTTTAATTTCCCTAGAATTTGGAGTGCATTGATTCAGATGGAAAACCTTTCAATGACAGGCACATATATAATAAAATTATGGTTTATAATGCATTTATGCAACGTTACAAAATGACATGTTGATCTGACTATGCACAATAATTAAGCCAATAAATACACAATAATTAACAATAAATAAGTTGGTATCCATTATTAGGTATACAATCATGGTTATACATTTAATGAGCCTTTCAAGCATTTACTTTGGTAACCATGGTGTCCTTGAAAATGCCATATTTTGGTATAAAATAAAAAAATGTTTTCAAAAGACATTTTAAACAAAATAAAAAAAGGTTTTTGTGTTTTGTAAATCTATAATAAATTCATAATGACAGTACCGTTCGAACTGTTGCCATGGTTACGCTAACTTGAAATCGTACTTTTTATGGCTACTGAAACATTTTAAATATTTTTATGCCCACTTGCCATAATCCACGACCTAAAAACTAAACATACTTTTCTCAAAACGGTAGTTACCACGACAGATTTCTGTAAAATAATAGCGACTGATGGATGCTTTGACTATTGGCGAGGTTTGGAGACGTTCTGACGGGCATCAGACTGATGGCTCCGCCCTCTGGCACCTGTGAATCTGCCCTGAACGCCACGAATGGATAGAACGCAGCTGAACGCAACACGTTAGTGAAAGAGCGCACGGAAGATCCGTCACCAAGCTTTAAATCGTGGGGATGTTTTCCATCATGATGCATATCCAGCGTGCGACCTCGTTTAAAGACGCGACGACGCGTTTCCAGTAGGAGTTTTCGTGCGTTTTGAGGAAGACTTTGAATTGCGCGGAGAACCGAGCAGCGGGCGAGAGCGCAGAGCGCAGCGGGAGGAGAGTGCGCACACGCGGGGCTCTGCCCTGCCAAACATGGCTGATCGTCAGGAGCGGGGCGCTGCAGGGATCTCCAGAAAGACGCTCGATGCTCCCCACTGAAGAACCAGAAGATGATGATGGTGATGAGAAGCGGCTCTCCACAATAATGACCTATCCGCTCTCGGTTCGGAACATGGCTGTGATCATCCCCTACACCAGTGATGTACCCTGTGACCCCAGGGGCCAGAGGATGTGGTGGGCTTTCCTCGCCTCCTCCATGGTCACTTTCTTCGGGGGTCTGTTCATCATCCTGCTGTGGAGGACCCTCAAGTACCTGTGGACGGTGTGCTGCCACTGCAAGAATAAAAAGAAGGTAAAACGCCCCAATGACACCTGCTTTTAGGTCAAAAGTTTGGACGCGCTTCACTGATGTTTTCGTGGTCTTAAAAACCTGTGATCTGAACGCATGCAAATTACTTCACAAAATACAATGATAAGCGCGCAAGTTCCCTTCTTCAGCTTTGAAATCACCTTTTGAAGTTGGTTGATGCGTGAACAGACTGAAGCTCAAGAGTTTTTACACCAGCGGCACTACATATTTGTGTTTCTCATCACGTTACTGTTATTCTGACAGGTGGGCAACAGGGTGAATGAGTGGTTGTGCCCAAACTCTCGACTGATAAAATATGAAACATGTTTTTTGTAGCTCAGCTGATCGAGGTCTTGTTTGATTCCGACACTCACACTGTTATAGCTAACCAATGCACTGGAAATCGCTTCGGATTGAAATGTGCCGAATGTGAATGTAGTTTTGTTCAGCTCTGAAGTGTTTATTCTTTTACATGACCTGGGCCACAAACCCAGTCACAAGGGTCAGTTTTTTGAAATTGAGATTTATGCATAATCTGAAAGCTAAATAAATAAGGGACAATATTTGGTCGAGATACAACTGTGAGAAAATCTGGAATCTGAGGGTGCAAAAAAATCTAAATAGTGAGAAAATCATCTTTAAAGTTGTTCAAATGAAGTTCTTAGCAATGCATGTTACTAATCAAATATTAAGTTTTGATATATTTACGATAGGAAATTTACCAGATATTTTCATGGAACATGATCTTTACTTAATATCCTAATGATTTTTGCATAAAAGAAAAATGTATAATTTTGACCCATACAATGTATTGTTGGCTATTGCTACAAATATACCCAGCGATTTAAGACTGCTTTTGTGCTCCAGGGTCACATATTGCTCTTTGTGAGTGCTTGAGGAGAGTAAAACTATTTCGTGCTCTTACTAAAGTCATGTAAATAGTAAAAAAAAAAGTGTGAGAAAATAGGACTTGATGAATCTCTTCTTGCCTGATAACTGAAGTGTGAAATGAGCGTTTTACTGATAAAATATGAAACATGTCGCTTAGATGAAGCAGCTACCAAACTGTAAAGCATAATGTGAATGAAAAAGTCTAGAAAAGCCTATGTAGTAGCTTGTTGTTCTACATGGCAGCTCCTGGGTAGTTGCTAAAGTGTTCCTAGTGATTGCTAGGCAGTTTCTAAGTGTGCCAAATGGTTGCTAAGGTGTTCTAGGTGGTTGCTAGGCAGCTAGGGATTGTTACTAGGTAGTTGCTAAAGTGTTCCTAGTGATTGCTAGGCAGTTTCTAAGTGTGCCAAATGGTTGCTAAGGTGTTCTAGGTGGTTGCTAGGCAGCTAGGGATTGTTACTAGGTAGTTGCTAAAGTGTTCCTAGTGATTGCTAGGCAGTTTCTAAGTGTGCCAAATGGTTGCTAAGGTGTTCTAGGTGGTTGCTAGGCAGCTAGGGATTGTTACTAGGTAGTTGCTAAAGTGTTCCTAGTGATTGCTAGGCAGTTTCTAAGTGTGCCAAATGGTTGCTAAGGTGTTCTAGGTGGTTGCTAGGCAGCTAGGGATTGTTACTAGGTAGTTGCTAAAGTGTTCCTAGTGATTGCTAGGCAGTTTCTAAGTGTGCCAAATGGTTGCTAAGGTGTTCTAGGTGGTTGCTAGGCAGCTAGGGATTGTTACTAGGTAGTTGCTAAAGTGTTCCTAGTGATTGCTAGGCAGTTTCTAAGTGTGCCAAATGGTTGCTAAGGTGTTCTAGGTGGTTGCTAGGCAGCTAGGGATTGTTACTAGGTAGTTGCTAAAGTGTTCCTAGTGATTGCTAGGCAGTTTCTAAGTGTGCCAAATGGTTGCTAAGGTGTTCTAGGTGGTTGCTAGGCAGCTAGGGATTGTTACTAGGTAGTTGCTAAAGTGTTCCTAGTGATTGCTAGGCAGTTTCTAAGTGTGCCAAATGGTTGCTAAGGTGTTCTAGGTGGTTGCTAGGCAGCTAGGGATTGTTACTAGGTAGTTGCTAAAGTGTTCCTAGTGATTGCTAGGCAGTTTCTAAGTGTGCCAAATGGTTGCTAAGGTGTTCTAGGTGGTTGCTAGGCAGCTAGGGATTGTTACTAGGTAGTTGCTAAAGTGTTCCTAGTGATTGCTAGGCAGTTTCTAAGTGTGCCAAATGGTTGCTAAGGTGTTCTAGGTGGTTGCTAGGCAGCTAGGGATTGTTACTAGGTAGTTGCTAAAGTGTTCCTAGTGATTGCTAGGCAGTTTCTAAGTGTGCCAAATGGTTGCTAAGGTGTTCTAGGTGGTTGCTAGGCAGCTAGGGATTGTTACTAGGTAGTTGCTAAAGTGTTCCTAGTGATTGCTAGGCAGTTTCTAAGTGTGCCAAATGGTTGCTAAGGTGTTCTAGGTGGTTGCTAGGCAGCTAGGGATTGTTACTAGGTAGTTGCTAAAGTGTTCCTAGTGATTGCTAGGCAGTTTCTAAGTGTGCCAAATGGTTGCTAAGGTGTTCTAGGTGGTTGCTAGGCAGCTAGGGATTGTTACTAGGTAGTTGCTAAAGTGTTCCTAGTGATTGCTAGGCAGTTTCTAAGTGTGCCAAATGGTTGCTAAGGTGTTCTAGGTGGTTGCTAGGCAGCTAGGGATTGTTACTAGGTAGTTGCTAAAGTGTTCCTAGTGATTGCTAGGCAGTTTCTAAGTGTGCCAAATGGTTGCTAAGGTGTTCTAGGTGGTTGCTAGGCAGCTAGGGATTGTTACTAGGTAGTTGCTAAAGTCTTATCAATTATTGTTAGGCAGTTGATAAGGAGTGGTTTAAGTGGTTTCTAACTTGTTTGTTGTCTTTGAACTTCCGTTATTGACATTTGTTAAATAAATATCTAAATCTATGATTTTTATCTAAGGGTAATTAATTGACTGGATGGTGAAAAGTTTCTCTATAGGCATTATGCACCAGAGAAACAAGTGCGCGGTCATCTTTAAAACTCTGTCTTTGAACTTCCATTTTTGCATAGCTCTGTAGCATCACTGTTAAAGAGTAATTAGCTGGTGAAGTGGATTTACTTATTGTAGAGTTAACGAAAATTATCATGTGCATTGTAATGTTTGAAGCAAATGCCATAACAAATGTCAGTAGACCGGGCAGATTTTAAAACGAGCGGTTCATTTATAAATTTGCACGACTTTACTTCACGTGGAAATACAAAGCGGAAGACCGAAGACAAGGAGTGCACTTAGCGCGGAGCTACATAAGGTGGGAGGTGGTTAAAAATAATAGTGATTGATGCATGCGGCAACCTCCTGCTCTCTCTCGTGAAGCCAACACGGAAGTGACTTAAACTGTAATTCATCAACTGGCCGCTAGAGGCTGGCTGCAAAAGGGAGTCAATCCCATAGACTCCCTATGTTAAAATGCCCAACTTTACAGCAGAAAAAAATAGGTCTACAGCCTGGTTCAAAAAATGATTTTGGTATATATAGCTAATTTTGTTACTGTGAGGGGGGTGAATTTTTTTATAACCCATCCGTTTAAATTATATTAAGCGTATATAAGCGTAAAGTTCTGCATAATTAAGGGCGTGGCCACTTGAGTGACAGGTGGATTGCCGCTGCTGTCACCACCGTCACGCTAGGTGGGCGTGGTTTCAGCAACCTGCTCCCGCCTCTTTGCTCATTTTCGATTATCCGGGAGTGACGCGCGGTGACGCTGCCAAGATGGCGACGGCCCGCTCCGCCCACTTTGAGCTTCAAAAACGCTCTTCGGAAATCTACGGGTGACGTCACGAACACTACGTCCATGTTTTTATACAGTCTATGGATTGATGGCGTCAGTTGTTCAGAGATGAAAAAAAAACCTACTTTTTTGGAATAACAAACTTTTAAATAATTCACAGTACGATCAGGAACGTGATGATATAGTATAGTTTTGATTTCATGCTGACTTTAGATATGAATTCAGGAACTGAGTTTACATGAACACGCTGCCATTTCATTCACTCGAAAGCAGTGCTTTGTTTCTTCCTCTGTCTGTTAAGGGTATGCGATATTTATCATCTAGGATAAGCTGTCATATGAGTTGCGTTATCAGGCTTACATTATGGAGTGTTATTCACTTTGCAAAAAAACAAACAGAAACGCATCTTGACAGTCCTAATGCATTGGCTATCTGATGAATCCTATTAAAAAATGCAGTTAGCATGACCCTATAATATGCAAAAAATATCCAGAGTGCTGTTTTCCTGAATATCAGCATGTCAGCGCGATTGCAAATTAGATTAATTTTATACAACGAACAATGCAACAAACAATATGTTAGTTTTAAGTTAATTACACATTAGACACAATGTTTAGTTCAGTTTAGTTCAATTTTATTTATATAGCACATTTAAAAACAACCATGGTTGACCAAAGTGCTTAACAATGTCAGGATACACACACACACACACACACACACACACACACACACGACAAATGCACAAAAAAGTCACAAGGAATACAAGTGTCTTAAGCAGCGACTTAAACAATGTTGTATGTTTTTCCAGTGAATTTCTAAGCAAAGCAGGATCAGAATATTTGTACATCACAAAGAAACCCTGCAGTGTTTCATTCATTCATTCATTCATTCAGTAACGATGCAAAATGCTGTAGCAAAGAACTTATACTGGCTTCTATACTCTTTGGCTGTAGTTATGAATGGGTTATTAATCACTGACTCTCCAAATCGTTCAAAGCCGCAGATTCGATCCAGTAGGTGGCGGCAAGTCACTGTCTTAATGAGCCAGGCGTCGCGTCATTCATTCATTCATTCAGTAAAGAAGCAAAATGCTGTAGTTATGAATGGTATTAATCACTGACTCTCCAAATCGTTCAAAGCCGCAGATTTGTTCACTAACGAAACACTGCTGTGTGTTGCTTGGAGACGCACCAGATGATATGTATTTCGTTGGAACTATTATTTCGTTGCAAAATATAACAAACATGACAACATTCTGTTTAAAATGTAGGCTACATTTAAAATGTTAAATGTTCACTTAATATGACCTTTTTTGTTGAACTGTTGTAATAATTGTCACGTTTGCCATCGTTTGGATATTCAGGGAAATTTGCATTCTTGCTCGTATTTTAAACATGAAAACAATAACTCGCACAGGGTATGTGTCTTCATCGAAGAGAGTTTAAATCAATCTCAATGTACAGTGTGTGTCGATATTTGCTCTTCATGCTATATTAAGTGAAGATCTACTTAAAGATACATTGAACAGCAGCGTGATTTGCTAAAGCAGCATATTCAGCGTGCATCCTATCACATGCACGCTTTTTGCTTGTCAGAAATACATGTTCGGTTTTAATGTTACTTTAAGTTGAGGTAGAATTAAATGAATGCCAAAAGTCAGAATTTTGTTGGCGTAGCCCCTCCGTCACCTCACGTACCCCAGTTTGAGAACCACTGATATAGACAGTTGCTTGCTTTGTTTCTGAACATTCTGAAGCTGTTCTGAATGAATCGTTTAAATGAGTGATTCAATGAATCACTGATTGCGACAGGGTCTTCCCGCCACCTACTGGCGGTATTAGTATCATATTTATTTTTCCATGACCGGCTTAAAGTGCCAGCACAAAATCACACTCAGCAAAATATTGTTTAATTACTCATTATGCGAAAAATATTGAGATATCATTCTTGTCAGTATTGCACACCTCTTCTGTCTAAACAATTATTGAAGACTAATGAGTGTTTTTAAAGAATCTGCTGAGCACAGTTGTACACTTACACCTGTATCTGTGTGAAAGCTGTTGATTTGACAGGAACACAGAGAGCAGTCGTACGAGAGCTTCACTTGCGTCTTTTCCCCGTGTTTGACATGGAGCCAGTGGTCAGGAATAGGCTGAGTTTTCACTGCCACTGTAGTCTACACACACACACACACACACACACACACACACACACACACACACACACACACACACACCACAGCTGTTGCTTTCATTACAGGCCTGTCAAACATAGTTGTGTTCATTCTGCCAGACGTTTCAGGAAGCCTTTTTCTCCCATTCAGACCTCAGTGGCCCGTTTCCACTCAAACACACGGCTCTGATTGAACTTGCTGATTTAATGTCAGATTGAATCAATCATTTGCTTATTTTCTTAATACATGTTCCTGCTCTGATTGAGAGTGATTCATCTGTGACTGTCCTGATGAATTGTGACGTCAAATACAGCAGACAGGGAAAATATGAGCCTATTTCATGATAACCAGACATCTAAACATCTACTGCTTTATTGCAATACAGATGATATTATGGCGCAGTATAGATTATTGGCATATATGTGTGTTTATATTTGAAATATATGTATTTTTGCTTTCGCATTTGCTTCCCCAAAAATCCCTAAAACCTTTTGTAATACATTTGTATTTAGTGATTCATTTGATGTAAAGTAGTTTCTATTTGAAACCGTTCTATTGAATTTGAGGTTATATATGAGACATACATTTATTCACCCATTTACATCCACACTTCTGCTGTTCTTTTAGTGATAGTTCACTCAAAAATAATCATTCTGAATTTGTAACTCACCCTCATGTTGTTTAAAGTCTGCCTGTTTCTCTTGATAAATAATTAGCAAGCTTTGATGGTAATTAAAATGTTAGCTACATGCCCACACGAATGTGCATATATTTACAGTGTTATAATGTTATAAAGAGCAAGAGAAAGAAATTAAAAAAGCCACTCGTTAATAAATGACGCAACTAGGTGTGCGATATTGGCAAAAAAATGATATCTCAGTATTTTGGGGACTTTGTCGATAATGATAATGAAACGATAATTTGCTAACTGTGTTTTTCTGCTGGTACTTTAGGCCTGTCATGGAAAAATAAATATGACACTAAAACCGCCAGTAGGTGGCGGCAAGTCCCTGTCTTAATGAGTGATTCATTGAAACATCCATTCAAATGATTCGTTCAAAACAGCTGATTTGTTTAGAAACTGAATCAAGCGACTTTAGAACTGGATCATTGAACCACTCCTTCAAAAACAGATTCATTCAGGAACGAAACACTGCACAAAATATTCTTATCTGAATAAGCACAAATATTCTGATCTGGCTTTGTTTGGAACTATTTCATTTGTGAAACAGAAAAAAACGTGTAACTCCTGTAATATGAACTTCTTGTTTGTTGAACTGTTGTATAAAATCAGTCTCATTCACGATCGCGTGCACGTGCTGATACTCAGGAAAACGGCACTTTTTTTTTTTTTTTTTGGTATTCTAACGTGTTTTTTTTTTTATATATATATTCATATATACTCGATAATGTCAGCTTGCACATCGTTAAAACAACAATTACGATATTGTCACAGACGATAAATATCGCACACTCACTTAGCTACATGCATTAAATTTTATTGTTCTACTGATAGGAGGGCTCCTTAATGTTACATGCTTGTCAGTTCAGTTACAGTCTTTCTGCAATAGAGTGGTTTGAGTGACTTTATTTCTTTCCTGAACCATGTAGAATAGAACAGAATAGAACAGAATAGAATAGAATAGGATACAACAAAACAGAACAAACTGGTATTACACTTCACATTCTGTCCCTCTCACTTCGGCTTTAGCTGCTTTTGTGTTCCACAGAAGAAAGTCAAACAGAATTGCAATGACATGAGGAACAGTAAATGATGACAGAATGTGCGTTATTGGGTGAACTGCCTCTTTAATTCAAGATTTTGTCATTTTTAGAGCATATTTTTTTGCAGGGATTAACAGCTGGCCGTTGCATTAATTGCAGCTCTCAAACTGTCCATCTCCTC